TGTGTCTGTTATTGTGTGAGTGCCATGCTGTTTTGAGTACTATTGTTTGTAGTAGATTTTGAAATCACTGAAAATTATAAAACATTGATGAAATAATTTGAAAATGACACAGATGAATGGATAGTTTCATGAGCTGGAAGAATTAATATTGTAAAAATCCCCATACTACTAAAAGCAATCTACAGATTAAAGCAATTCTTATCAAGATTCCAATAACACTTTTCACAGAAAGAGAAAAAAAATTCTAAAACACATGTGGAACCAAAAAAAGACCCCAAATAGCCAAAGCCATCCTGAACAAACAAATAAACAAAGAATAAACCTAGAGGCATCATAATACCTAATTACAAAATCTAGCAAGTATTTAAATATCATGAGGGGGGGCTGGCAGGTGGCATGGTGGTTAAGGCACTGGACTCCTGCATGGCTGATCACAGTTCAAGTCCCAGACCTGGAGGTTTGCTTTTTTCGCTTTCTCTCTCTCTCTGTTTCTGTGTCTCTCTCTGGTCAAATTAAAAATTAATAATAATAAATAATTCTTAAAAATTAAAATAAATATAATGGAGACATGCTATTGAAGTAAATCCTGTGATGAGTACTTTTTAAAGCAACAAATTAAATGGCAAATGTAAACATTGACATTTAATTTTTATATTTTCTAAGTCTGAATTATTATATATTAACTTGGCATAGACTAGTATATACTTAGACTGTTGTTTTTTTTTTTCCCAAAATGAACTTTTTAACCAATTTAAATACAATTTAAGCTCTTGGAGCATTGCATGGTTATAGTAAATGGTGAATAAACATGTAGAGATACTTTCTTGAATTTATGTTAGTAATCCTGAAATCATCTATCAGTTCCAAAAGCCTATCTGGGCCAGCATTTGTTCGTTTCTTGGCATCATGGTCACCAGACATGACTTCAGTTTATGAATCACAGAATCTCAGGAGCCCATGGTGATTCCGGCCACTGAAACCAGGCCAACTGATTGATGTCTTAATCCTTTCTATCCTTCAGGAAGAATGGAATGAAAACTATGGTTTTGTTCTCTAGCATTTGTTGCACTGGGCTAAGATTATAGATAAACTGTAGGTTTAGATCCTTGCTGAACAATTTATTCTAAATGATATAGAGACACAGTATACTGATCTTGGCAAATCCATGGCAGAAGTGACAACTTAGTGAGAAGCTCAGGAGTAAATTAAAACATACAGATGACCCAGGGCACTGTCCCTAGGATGTACTGTAGGACCGGAGGCCCACTTCCGGTTGGGGCTCAGTCCTGAATATCTTGCATGAATCTGAGCCTGGAAACCTTGACCCTGCATGAGTTTCTCTATCTTTAAACTTGCTCATACATCAGAGGAGTTGGAGTGGATCATGAAATAATAAGTATAAAGGACTTAAACTTCCTAGAACAAAGATTCCACAACAAAATAAAGTCACAATAGGGATATAAATTACATCTGATGGTTTATGTTTTAATGCAAGTAAGAGATGAGATATCACATTTTAGAAGGCTTCATTTCAAAATCAATTTGAGGGTTTGCCCCATAGCACAGTGATTAAACTCTGTGCACGGGAAGCTGACCCCCACGTAACCAACCACGATTTGAAACTGACCTCAGTAACCTGAGAGACACACTGAATGTAAGTGTGCATGCCCCAAATCCTGATAGGATGGAGAAATGAAAGAAAGTGGATCATGGCATGACCACGCCCCAGTGGGTATGGGTTCTCTTTCTGTATCTCCAACTCTGGTGAGCATGTACAATCTGGCAATAAAAAATTAAAGAAAATAAAAGACATCTAGAGCCAGCCAGGGCTGATTGTGCTGTTCAAGTCCTGGACTTGCCGGCTTGAAAATCATGCTAGGCGTGTGTGTGCGCATGCTCAAAATCCCAAGAAGAGAATGGAGGAGGAAGGATTGTGGTGTGGTCATCCTCCTTGTGGGGCCTTTTCTCACTTTCCCTCTCTCTATTTTTCTGTCTCTCTCCCTCTGGTAAGTGCATGTACCCTATAACAAATTTTAAAAATAATAATTTGGGGACCAGCAGTTAGCGTAATGGCTATGTCTCTGGACTCCCATGTAGTCAATTATGTTCGAGTCCCAGAACACGTGGCTTTGACTTCACCCCAGTGGCTTGAACTCATGCCAGGTGCGTGTGTGTGCATGCCCAAGATCCCAAGAGGAGAATGGAGAAAGGATTGCAGCGTGGCCATCCCCCCTGGGGGGTGATTTCTTGCTTTCTGTCTCTCTGTCTCTCTCTGTCTTTCTGGCAAGCACATGCACCCTGTAGCAAAAACCTCTCCAAAAAAATAATAATGATAATTTGAAGAAATAGACACCAGTACATCGAAAACAAGTCAATCTGCAAAAATTTATTTCAGATAGAAGGTGTAGAAAATATATCTCATGCTACACAAAGCTGTACCTTTGCGAACTGAATTAGTACTCAACACATGAGGCAGTTCTTTAGAATTCAGAAACCAGTGGTTCATGAGCTATTGACAGTAATCTCATTAAATGATCATTTCATAAGTTGAATAATTAATGATTTAATTTTCACCCAATGATAATTAGCTTTAAAAGCATAAAACCTTTATATGCCTTTCGGATATTTTGCATATTAAATATACTTTCTAACACAGAAATTGGAAGTCTTGTTTTTTTTTGAAGTTTATTTTCTTGAGGCCAGTAGGTGGTGTAGTGGTTAAGGCACTGGACTCCCCCCATGGCTGACTGTGGTTTGAGTACCAGACTGGAGGCTTGAAACACACTGGGTGCATCTGAGTACGTGCCCCAAATCCCAAGGAGAATGGAGGACAAGGGTTTGCAGTGTGGCCATTCCCCCGAGGGAGGGGGTGATTTCTTACTTTCTGTCTCTCTGTATCTCTGACGAGTACACGTGTCCTAGAGCAAAAATCTCTCTCTCATGGAAAAAGAAAAACTTTTTCTGAGAGAGAGAGACAGAAAGACAGAGAAATAGGTACCCTAACAAGGTCCTCACACTGTCTTCCGCCCTCGACCCCCATCTCAGCTGGCCTGGGTCATAGGTGTGTGCATGTGCCCAGCATACACAGGGGAGGACCTGGGATGTGAACTAGGGACCTTCCGACGCGGGTTCAGTTGTGTTATTACTGCGCCACCACCCGCCCAGAAGTTGGAAATCTTGAACATTCTGAGGTTTCAGGCAGACAAGCCACATTCGTCCTCTTCTGTTCAAGTCAATGCTTGATGAAGAAACAGAAGACATGGATGGATTCAATTCCTAGGAACCAGTCGTGACTGTAATCATTAGCATGGAGATACAGACAACGTCACTGCATATGATCATGGAATAGGTGACCGACGAGGTTGGGGGTGAACCTGAGGGCAGGACTGAAGATAGGAAAGTGAGGAATTTCCCAAAAGGGTTGAACAAACTGACGGACGCAGTAAGACCACATGGCATGAGGAGCAGCCAGCACAGTTTCCAACAGCGTAAAGCCAAGTCACAGTTCCAAGTTCAATAACAGCGTTATTTTCCAAAATAGTATCTGTGTCCAATATGGAAGGATAGGTGAGCCAATGTCAAACAGGTGAGATAAAAAGATAAACAGGCCGTGTCCTTCCTCTCCCCAAGAGCAGAGCAGGCCTGGGAAAACTGATGGCTGAAAGGATGGAGAAGCAGCTACAGGTGTTGGCCTGCATTTTCAGAATTTCTCTGGGCCTGTCTCTTACTTTACACCTGTATCTCTAGTATCTGTTAGTCTCCTGGTCCCTTTTCCTTAACTGGATGCCTGTCTCTCTTATGGCCCTCATTTTGTTAGCCAGGTTTATGGCCAGCAACTCTGCTTCTCACCTTTGAAACTCCTCCATATTTGATTGTTGATGATGTGGTTATTTATGACCTCACATGTACTAAGTCGTGGACAAAAGGCCCCTAATTCCCGCTCCCTGCCTAGCTCAGTCATGCCTCAATGAGACTCTGTTTGATCATAAAGAAGATCTGATTTCAGCTCAAGAGAAAGAGTTTTGAAGAAGATCCAGCAAAATAGGAGCAACGTCCTCCACCCCCAGTCTCAGCTGTGTGCCGCGGCAGCTGAGGGGAACTGGCATCCCTTTGCCCAACCCCCACCACTTACGGTGGACAGTCTGGCTTCTGTCACAACTCTTGGTTCATAGAGGGTACTCTGGAAATATCAGATGAACAAGTGGATGAGTGATGCATAAATTAGGGTAAGCACCAGCTATGAGATCCGAGGGTAGTTGTACTGGGTTTTGAAGCTGTGCATGAAATGATAAAATGCGATAAACGCTTAATTAGTAGAATGTGTTGGTGAAGATTTTCATTCGTATTTTTTTCAAGGAAAAAGAAAGCGTGGAGGAGCCCAGCACAACTACTTGTCCTCATTCTCAGAGCATCTGTGATTTTTAAGCAGGTTTTGGAAGTAGTTACTTGCCTACAGTAAGGTATGACTTCTGCTGTAGAAAATGTAGAACAATCTAAGGTCACACACACCAGGAAATCCCTCCAGAGAAAGTACTTACTAAAAACAACAGGCCCAAATCTCTTTCCCACTCTGGGTTTCGTAGGAATATACAGATGTATGCTCAACTCAAAATGAATTCAAAATAAAAAGACAGAGGTAACAGGGCTGGCAGGTGGTAAGGTGGTTAAGGGTGCTGGACTCCCACATGGCCGACCGCAATTCGAGTACCTGACTTGGCAACTTGCCTTCTCAATTTCTCTCCCTTTCTTTCTCCCTCTCCAGTCAAATTGAACTAAATCAATAAAGTTAAGTAAAAATAATTCTAAAAAAGGAAAGAGACAGCGGTAACAGATGCCGCATTCTAATATTACTGAATGAAAACCAGCTCACCTCCTCTTGGAATCCCAGAGTATCTGCAGTCGCGGCTGCTGGCAGGAGCCTGGGCTGGCAGACAGTGCTCGCCGCTGAAGGTGAGGAAACACCCTGAATGCCGCACAGAGCTCAGTGTTTGTTTCTTCAGCTCGACAGGCTGGACGTGGACAGCTTGTTCAGCAACATCGAAGCGGTGTGCCAGATATCCGCCAAGCTGCTGGCGCTGCTGGAAGAGGCCACCACGGACGTGGAACCGGCCAGGCAAGTCATCGGTATGTGACTCTCTTCTCGAATTCTGCGCACATGAGGGGACGGGATCTTAACGAGCTCCCTTTGCATCGTCTGGTTGATGTTTCTGAGTCAGCACACTCCCAGGACACATATAAATGTGAAATCTGTGGCTGCTTGTAGTTACACAAGCTCTGTATGAGTTTACGCCAATTGTAAATGGGTCTATGTCCACTGAAGCCCCGCGGCAGGAGCACTTCAGCATTTGTCCTGGACTTTAAAGAAGGCTTGTTATTATAGTTGTGTCGTAGGGCCTCCCCGCCATTTCTCCCTCCGCCAGGGTCTCGTTTATGGGTGGGGCAGGCACGTGCAGTTGACTGAGATCTCACAGTAACACACGGTAAGCTCCCACACTCAGCCTCTCCTTTCCCAGCCTTTTCTGACTGCAAGGAAACATCTTCCTGGGAAGTGCTGTGTGCATGGCCTCGACGGTGACAGGTAACGCGATGTTTGCACCTGTGTGGCCGGAACAGCTACGTCTTTTGTTCTGTGTGTACTGGGGGACGGAGCCGTGCTGTGGCCCTGACACCCACTGCATGGAGCAGCTGGTCACATAGGTGCTGCCTGTGGACCGCCCCTGGGATCGGAATGACTCGTAGGAGGCAAGAAGCCGCCATGATGCCAGTCAATGGGGTTAAGGGATGCTAGGTTCCTTAGGCACCTGTGACAAGTGGAGGCTGAGCAGCCTGTGCCAGAGCGCTGCATGCTCCTGGCGCCAGTTTACCTATGGTGGGAGCTGAAGTTGCAACTCAGTTGTTCATTTATTTGGTTATAATTGTTTTGCAGTAAACCCTTCTAGAACCACAGGCTTAATGTAGTCATTTTTAAAACTTTACATTGTTGATAAAAAGTATTGATGTTGTTTCTCAAAGTGATGAACACATCACACAGGAAGTACTCACCCTCCACTGCAGGGTCCTGAATGCTATCCCCCTCCCAGGCCAGCTGGGGTGGGGGGGGCAGGAATTTGCTCAAGCAGCAGCAACACCTGTGAAAACTTACACACAAGTCTGTGCTCAAGGTAAAGTGATTCAACATGTGCAGCCGTGTGCGGTGTGCACAGAGCTCACCGTGAGCAGCACACTTGTCATTTAGGTCAAACGTCAGTTATCTTAAATACATTTGCTTGTTTAAACCCGAGGCTCCTCGCGCCAATGAGTGGCACAAAGTAATGACTGCTAACGAGTCGGTGCCATTAGCAGAAAAGCTTTGCCCTTCAATGATGATGTTTTATATCAGTGCGAGCAGACGGCTCAAATACAAAATCAGTGGACTCCATTAATGGTTCAAATTCTTCTAAATCCAATTTATAGAACAAAACAAAAGCTTTTGGAAGTTTGTTGTGGCAAAGGTGAACTGTCTGACCATGGTGTAAGTGCTGTCACAGCCACTTAAAATTAAACACCGTGGGGCAGCTGCAGAGGCACAGCGATAAGGCAACACGGAAGCTACAACCCATGGGAAGGACCCAGGTTCGTGTCCTGAGATCTCGGTACCCACCAGGCATACACACATGCCCAGGATCCTGGCTGGTAGTCTGGGAGTGAAATCATGGTGTGAAGACCCTGTTAGAGGGATCTCTCTCTTTCTCTGGCTTACTGAAGACATAAACTTAACGTTTGGACAATATAAATGCAAATGCTAGTCGGAATAGCAACACTGGAGCCCAGCATCACAGTAAAGCGATGTTGTTGCTACAGTAAAAACCTGTGGGGACCAGCAGATGGCGTAATGGTTACCTCACTGGACTCCTACGTAGTGGACTGCGGTTTAAGTCCCAGACCTGGCAGCTTAAAACTCACACTGGGCTCATGTGCACGCGTGCCCAAAATCCCAAGAGGAGAATGGAGGAGAATGAATTGCAGTGTGGCCACCACCCCACCCCACCCCCGGGGATTGATTTCTTGCTTTTTGTCTCTCTGGCGAGTGAATACACCATATATAGCACAAATTTCTTTAAAAGAAAACTCGTGGAGCAGACGTACACTTGAAATTGACCATAGCACATGCCTAATGAGCTGTCTTATTAATTGAGTGGAAACTGTCCATATTTCCATATGCTTTTATATACACCAAATTAGAGTGAAAACAATACTTGGAGGATAAAATACATGTTGAATTCAAAGATAATCTTATGCAGGACAGGGTGTACTTCACTTGTGGCTGGTCATTAATCAGTTTTCAGGAATGTCTGATCCTTTGAAACATCCTTGAGAAGTCATCAGCCAAAGCGTCCCACAATGGCATTGGGTTATTTTAAACGAGGTCTCTGAAATTGAATTGCATTCTGTTCAAAATCAGTTGGAAGTCTCTAGTTAAGGTATTCAACAAACAGAGGGAAAAATAACTTCAGGGTTTTAATCTTTACAAATTGCAATTATTGAAAACAAAATTGTAAATGGGAAGACAGGGCTTATCCCCATAGAATAAAAAATGAGCTAAAAAATTAAACAATGAGAGCTCACGTTGAGTGAAAGGTTTAATTTCGACATTATAATTGTACTTTGGAAAATCTGACTTAGAGAAAGAAGCTTTCAAGGGAGCTCATTTTTAATGGAATAAAGTTATATTCCATACCAGGTTTTATAATATCTACATTTGAAAAAATGTAAAAAAAATTATAAATAGAAGCAACTTATTTAGATGAGTTTTATTTTGCAAAAATAAAAAAAATCCAAATGGAGGCAAAAAGACATTATCTATGAACATATTTCAGCTCAGATATTTATGTCTTAATATGTATAGGTATATAATTAGAATTTTAATATCTTCAAATTAGCAGACTTTGAGTTCATTTGGCACCTCTGTACTTACACTTTTTTGATTTAAAATATCCTGGTTTACAAATTTGAGCAGTAAAATACATAATGATAGAATTGGGTTATAACCCACTAAATAAAATAAATATCAGTGGGCCCATACTGGAAATTTCTCCCCATTTATTTATATCACACCTGTTACCAGCCAAACTAAGTTCAGCTGCTTCTCTCGGTCAATGAAGTGAGAGACAGAGGCTGGAGAAGAAGGGAGTTTATTCTATAAGTGTTAGGTTGTCAGGATAGTAATGGAGGTGTTTTTCTACGCAAAAACGTGTCATGACTTTCCCAATGCCAATAGAGGGAGACAGCAAGTACCGCTGTCTCAAAACACGCCGCTTGTCCTGGGTGTGTGTAGTACAGGAAGCAGTTGCAAATCATTCCTCACCACACTCAGAGGCAACTGCTTCCCCCTGAGTGAATCACCCTGCTTCCTTCAAATACCCACTCCTGGGGGCCAGCAGGTGGTGTGGTGGTTAAAAGTGCTGGCCTCCCACATGGCCGACCACAGCTCGAGTCCTAGACCTGGTGACTTGCTTCCTCACTTCCCCTCTGTTTTTCTGTTTCTCTTCGGTCAAATTAAAACATAATAATAACAACAACAAAAACAATAAATTAATTAAATAAAGAATTCTAAAAACAAAAACAAAAAAACAAATACCCACTCCTGATTTCTCATCTGACCATTCCTCGGTCATCTTCCTTTGACTCAGCACTTGGCCAGATTCTTCATCTTAGAGGCCCTTCTTAGTTTCACGATGGCTGCAGTGCCGCTAAACCTTAAACCGATCTGCTAAATATGGACTCATTGATATTTATTTTTTCTTACAGTAGATTTCAATTAATATAGAGGAGAAGAGGAAAACAGAAAAATCACTATTATTCAAATACTACACACAAAATTCTTGCAGACAAAATCCACTGATCGACACTAGATTTGCTAGGCGAAAGTTAGAGAAATATATTTCAGAGTCTCAAAATTTTCTGCAAGTCATTATTAGCCTCAAAGGGAAAGGTGGTAACTTTATAGTGGGAAACTCAGCAGAGGCTGCCAGTAATGAACTAATCAATGTCAACCACAAAATAACACATACTTCCACTGAGAACCCTTTACTAACAGGGACACAACAGCATGGCTAGGATACTTTTGCCCAAAAGCGTGCAATTATGTTCAATGATGAGAAAATGTTAGCCACCCTGAGGCAAACTCCAATAAAGGGCAGTGGGTTTCTGCAGTCTTGAGGTCATTTAGGACAAGGCAGGACAGAAGACTGTTATGGACTGCAGACCTCTAGGAAGGGGTGATGGATTCCTGCAAATGGGAGCCTGGATAAGTGTTGGAATGGTGAAGGAACAGGAGTGAGGGCATTCAAACGAGGTGTTTAGTTTAACTAATAGTATGGCACCGAAGTTAATTTCCTTTTTCTGCCAATTGTGTTGTGGTTATATAAGATGTTAACTCTGGGAAAGTTCAGAGGAATATTTGAAAAATATCTGTGCCAGTTGTGCAATATTTCTTTTAGCCTAAAATTAATTCAAAATAGAACATGATTTATTTCTTTTGAGAGGTTTTTGCTATAGGGCACATGCACTCGCCAGACAGAGGTGGTAACTTTATAGTGGGAAACTCAGCAGAGGCTGCCAGTAATGAACTAATCAATGTCAACCACAAAATAACACATACTTCCACTGAGAACCCTTTACTAACAGGGACACAACAGCATGGCTAGGATACTTTTGCCCAAAAGCGTGCAATTATGTTCAATGATGAGAAAATGTTAGCCACCCTGAGGCAAACTCCAATAAAGGGCAGTGGGTTTCTGCAGTCTTGAGGTCATTTAGGACAAGGCAGGACAGAAGACTGTTATGGACTGCAGACCTCTAGGAAGGGGTGATGGATTCCTGCAAATGGGAGCCTGGATAAGTGTTGGAATGGTGAAGGAACAGGAGTGAGGGCATTCAAACGAGGTGTTTAGTTTAACTAATAGTATGGCACCGAAGTTAATTTCCTTTTTCTGCCAATTGTGTTGTGGTTATATAAGATGTTAACTCTGGGAAAGTTCAGAGGAATATTTGAAAAATATCTGTGCCAGTTGTGCAATATTTCTTTTAGCCTAAAATTAATTCAAAATAGAACATGATTTATTTCTTTTGAGAGGTTTTTGCTA